TCAATTGAAAATAGCATTGATTCGTTTTTAGTTAAGAGAAAACTTTATTTTTGAAATAGACTTGTTTGAATATTTTATCTAAATCCGACTTTTATTGATTAAGTTGATCATGATCAACTAGTTTTTGTTTTACATTTGCCACACTGGATAGATATTCCTAATATACCTGGAAATTTCTTCTTCTTATTGTAGTAGATTCTACACTGGGTTTATCTACTAATATCAAATCATGTTTGTTTTTCTTTTTCATGTATTATATTATTAACAATGTCTACTCATTATTTTGCATATACAGATCGCCGATGATAACATTAGAGGAGATTTATTCCATGTTATTAATAGTTCTGCAACTGATTTGTTTTTAGGTCGCAAGTGAAATCAAGAGTCCATGCTTTGGAGAAAGTTATTGCCTCTAAACAAAAAATGCCCTCGGCTAGGGTTACTACTCGGACCAAATCCCGTATGAATAAGGAAAATTTACAGCTACATTCAAATATAGATGCTTTAAATACAAAACCAACAAAAATACAATCTGCTCAAAAATTAACATCTACCATAAAAGTAGCAAGTGTCTCTAAGATAGCTACTCTCTCTGCAAAGAAATTCAATTCATCAAAAATACGACTCACAAAATTGTTAAGAATACCAAGCTCGTATTGCAGCCCGCACAAAAGTCGAAGTCATCTGCCAAAGATGATTTTTTGAAGAAGCAGGCTAGGAAAGAGAAAGCTTTGAAGAAAGGAGCAGTTGCTCCTAGAAAAACAGGAAGAGCGGAAACGGTAAGTTTGTGTAAATTATTAACTTTCTGAAGTTAAAGTCTGTTTTCACACCAGAAAATCCGGTTTGCTTACTTTGTGTTCTTGGTGCTTCCAAGTCATTCTGAATTATTTGAAACCAATCGTGCTGATTGGTTTTTGGAAAAGATCGGTCGGTTCTATTTTTCGTAATCAAATGATGTTTCGCGTTTTTAATAATACTTAACATAGAGGTACAATTCATAGGTTACATTACATCGTGTAGTGCATTACCATATCCTGATACCATGGATTATTGAGTTTTCTGTTTTTTTAACACTGTAAGATTAACTAATTAGAGTACTTTTCTTTATAATTGTATTTCCATTTTTAGTTTTTGAATTTTATTTGTAGTTTCCACTGAATGAAAGCTTGGATTATAGCCGAAACGTATGGATGTAAAATAATTTTTTGAAAGAAATTTGTTTTTTATTCCTGTTTTGCCCTAATATTATGCTTTGGTAATATATATAAGGTCGATTTGAAGGTCACTTAGGTACATATGATTTTCGAATTTTAGGAATCCAAATAAGATACTTTGCTGAAGAAACCATACCTCTAAAATGAATTCTGATGACGGTGGGTTCAAGGTCATACATTTGGACGCGATTGGGGCACTCTAAATGGATCAAAATGGAGTTTTTTAAATTGCAACTTTTATTTAGGACATCAGAATTTATCTTAGGGGTTTCTTCAGCATAGTATCTTATTTTGATCACTAGAATCCGAAAATCATATATGCCAAAGCGACTTTTTTGACTCATACCAATCGACCCGCTTTAATATATATATATATATATATATATATATATATATATATATATATATATATATTGATTGTTTCTTTTCCGAACAGTAAATCCAATAATAAAAAACAATTTGTTTTTTGAAGATGTTTAATACGACGTTTCGGAACTAGGTACGTTCCATCATCAGGTTTATTCTGTCAAATACAATGTTTTTTAAAATACTGATTAACATTAATTAACAATGGTCAATACAGATTAATTAGAAAAAAATTTTGTTATAAAGGAATGGATTATGTACCGGATAGATAGTAATAAGACTTAACTAAAAAAGGTTTTATATAAAATTGAGAAGCAAAAATTATTTACCTGTAATAATTTATATATCCATATCACTAATATTTTTTTGTTAAAAACACTCGATTTTTTTGGAAGATATTTGTAGATGTTACGACTACACAAGACTTAAACACACTGATATGGATTTCTGTCTGCCAGATGTAAAGGACAAAGCACGGAACTCTTGGCAAAAATGATTTTTTATGGCTCTTGTTTGGTAATTTACGAAAAAAGGAAAAATATTGCTTTAGTAAATGTTGAGAAATATTATGTATATATATATATATATATATATATATATATACATACATACATGAACATGTATATGCACACCTACATACTCATACATACATATGCACATATCTATATATTAATGTATCCACAATTATACACATGAACACATATGCAAGTGTATGTGTATAGTGTATACCCAAAAACATACATATAAGCATATATATGGATGTACATATATTATAACATATATACATGTATATATATACACATATTCAAAAACTATTAGGATTAATTATTTTTAATCAGGTTTAAAAAATTTAAATATGAGTCATGAATGATATTGTGATCTGATCTTTTATTAACACTTTTTGACGAATTCAAAAAGATTAAACTGCTTTCAGAAAAAAGTCTTTTAAAAGTACAATCCTCTCTATATAAAATATTGGGTTCAAAGGTGAAATTATGTGAGTTTTCGATGGAATGCTGAACAAGAGTACTTTGGAAATTTCGGCTTTTATGATGAGTGACGCTTAATTCATGTTGTCTCATTCTCTTATGAATGTACTGTGATGTTTGGCCAATGTATTGTTTTTGACAATTTTTGCAAGGGATGGAATAAACTATGTTAGTATTGAATTTAGGAGGGGTGGTGGATTTAATTTTTGAAAACATTTCTTTAAAAGAATATAGAGCTGTTCCTGAAATGAAAATATTTTCTTCTTTGAGTAATTTGGCAAAATAATCAAATAAGCCTTCAATGTAAGGCATGCTGTGAAAAGTTGGTTTAATATTGTTGTCTTGGAATAACTTGGAGATGGATTGATAATTGTTACTTTTATGATAGGAAAGTCTTTTATTGGTAATGGAATTGATGAGGGTGAGGGGATATCCGTTTTCTAATAAAGTTTTAGTTACTAATGTTGTGTTTTGGGTATTGACTTATCTATTGATATATATATATATATATATATATATATATATATATATATCAATATATTTATTTTTTCAGCAAACGTCTAGAGAAGGAAAGATTAGCTCAACAATCAAGAGAACAACAAGAGAGAGAAAAACAAGAAAAAATTGCTAAAAAAAAGGAAAGGAAACAAAAATTGATACAAGAGAGAGAAGAAAAGGCCAAGGAAGAAATGCGATTGAAAAAATTGCAAGCGCAGCAAAGAGCGCAGGAAGCTGAAATGCGAAGAAAAGCAGAAGAGGCAGCAAGGCTTGAAAAATTGAAACAGAAACAAGAATAGCAAAGAAAATTAGAGGTATTCATAAAATCAGACATTGTTACTTTCATTTGAAATTTTAACTTTTTGATGACCGCCCCAACTGTCTCAGAGGGTTTTATCAGTAGCGCGTCCAAACACTGAAAACAAAAATTTCCTTTGATCTTACCAACTGAATTACATAAAGTAAATTTTAGTAAATTCATTTTAGAATTCGAAAATGAAAACTTGTATTATGTTTTGAGGAAGGTAAATTTGTAAATATCGAAAATTATTCGGATTCTAATTTTAATTCTAACTAATATCTTAAAGCTCACGACTACGTGGGCGACTATTTATATTCTGTAAATAATTTATTTACAGTGTATAAATACTGTAAATCATTTTAACATTCTTCAATTTATTTTATATAATCCTTAGAAATATGATATAAGGTTTTTTACTGTAACTCCGCTTAATTTTTATTTATTTACTTTTCATGTAATCATAAATAAACGTAGTCGTCCAATTTATAAGATTTTATGTTTCGTCTTTTCATAACGGTATGGGAAGTTCCAGAATATTGCCTTAAGGCACTCATAAGTTTCTTATGAGTTGTTAATTTTTACCCTATACTGCATTATCATAATATGGATGGCGTCATGTTGAAAAATTATCTTGTATTTTCTTTTGTAATTTAATCAAAATTATCTACTAATGTTACTAGATGTTATCGTTAATAACAGTTGTGGCAAAAATTGAAATGAAACAAAAATATCTGAAATTTAAGCAACTTTTTTTAAGCAACAGCTTCAATCAAATGCGAAATCAGATGCTGCATTTGTACATCCGAACCCAGAAGAAAGCGTATTGGATTATAGCATTGCCGCAGTAGGTATGGCTGATGGTTTTGAAAATCTTCAATCGGATTATTCCACTGACGAAGATGAAAAACCAACAAAGAATAATAAACAGAGGCCTGATTGGAGCAAACGTAAATTACCTTTTGATTACTTTTGCATTTACCCAAATTTTCAAAATCTTGATAATTGCTTAGTAATGTAGTTAATTCTGTTAACTTTGACTGTTCGATTATTATTTTATAAAAAGAATATATGTAATATACATATATATAAAAATAAGTCGGGTTTTCCTTCCTGACGCACGAACCGATTTCGAAAATTTTGCATTCGTTGGAAAGGTCTCGGGCTCCGCAAGGTTTGTAGCCGAGAAAATTAGTGGTGCATGGCATCGTGCCTTAATGCAAATTGCTAGAACTTCACGCACCGTAATTAAAAATTCGAGTAATGACATAGTGAGAATTATCAGAATTATGCTTGGTTGACTTCAAACGATTGCAATTTTCAGTTCGCAATGACAATTAACAAGTTGCAAGGCCAATCGCTTAGTGTTTGCGGGATAAATTTCAAATAGATTATTTAAATAATCTACGTCTAATTAGAAAATCATTGTTTTTCACATGGGCAGTTATATGTTGCCTGTTCACGAGTTGGAAAACCAACCGCTTTGTTTGTGTTCACGTCAGACCAAAAAAACAAAAAAATGTGGTTTACCAAAGAGCACTTTAATGAAACAGATAATTTGCGGATTCACTGTCATTTACTTCGAGAAGTCCAACTAAAAAACAATACATTTTTGTAATCAAATTAAATTCGTTACTGTTGTGTAATAAAATCAAAGTTTTCCTTTTCAAATATAAAACAAACAACAAATTTCTTAATCTTTCTCACGAAACCATCTGGTGGCGAAACGGAGTTCGTCGGATTTGCTAGTGTTGTGGCGATATCAAGCAGGCTGGTTTTTATTTGTAAAAAACAATGGGACATGTCATGTATATTTTTGATATCGAAATATTTTTACAGTTAATAAATTTATATTTTTTTTTATTGTTGGGAGTTTCTAATTTAATATATTGTCATAATCATTACGACTCCCACATTGGTGACTCACGACGATGGAGATGAAGATAAAGGAGTTTTATTTTTCGAAGATTTAAGAAAAATTGATTTTGACGCAGCACCATAATCACTGGTCTTCAGTGACGACCTATAAGGTATGTCCAGTCCAATCCATCATAGTTAACGCACTTACTATCTGGATCAGACTTCCGAGGTTACTCATTTGGTATACCCAGACCTCAGTGTTTATTGCTGACAGAAAAAATAATTTGGAGCCTGAACTTTTCATTGGAATGCAATTCAACCTCTCTTTCTCTGTTAACTCAACAAATCGTCTTATAATGCTACCTCCCATTATCGGTGTCAACGACGAGTCAAAACAAAATTTGATATAATTTATTGGATTTCACAATTCTGGACTCTTATGTCAAAGAAACCAATGATCCTGATTTGGATAAAGAGCCAACTTCTTTCTCTGATCGGAACTCATCAGATACGAATGCAACGCTTGCAGAAATGGAAACTGTACCCATAAATTATGCATTCTAAACATTAAGTAATTCTGATATAACTAATACCAATTAGATGGAGGCGGAATCTTAGAAGTTCACCGACATCGAGGTACAGGAAATTTTCCACATGTTTTTCAGAACCTTATGCAGTTTAATCAGAACCTTATGCAGAATATGGAGTTGATGGCAGGTCGAATCACCACAAACGGTGGATCTGCTGACGAAACATGGAAATTTGTAATTAACCAGTATTACAACACTGGTCTGCTATAATCTGCTTTCCCACCACATTTTTATAACGTGTTTCCCTGTGTTTTTTTTTTTTAAACTGTGAGATCAACACTGGGCAGGGAGTGTGTGGCGATATCAAGCAGGCTGGTTTTTATTTGTAAAAAACAATGGGACATGTCATGTATATTTTTGACATCGAAATATTTTTACAGTTAATAAATTTATATTTTTTTTTATTGTTGGGAGTTTCTAATTTAATATATTGTCATAATCATTACGACTCCCACAGTGTAATTATATTTATCTTCATATTAAAAATTTATATTTTTTCAGCTGAAGCACGGCAAGCTGCAATTATAAATCAAGCAAGAACGTCAACAAAATTAGTAGATCTGTTGTTTAATGTGAAAGCGACCACACCGGATTTGAGAGTTATATTCCCAGGAATTAGCAAAGACAAATTAAATCGAAGATCTAGTGCTGTTTGGAAGACACCTCCGAGGTACTCAATGCTACCTCGATTTTAGAGATATTTAAAATTTTGTATATAGTCATTTTTAATATTAATCAATTAATTTCAACCTTTTTAAATCTTTGTTTAAATGTTTATGTAATATATTGTTATTGCTGTAAGCATGTGTCACTACAACTATTTTGTAGTGTTGATTGAATCATAGTGATATTACATTTGTTACATTTCAAATATAAGATCATATTTTTCCTTATTTAGGCATTTTAAGCAATTTTTATTAAACTTTTAATAGAAAATATTTAATTCTGTTTAATGTAAGTGTTATTCATGAACATAGTTCTATCACTTGCGAATGTATTTTTACATGCAATAATTCACAAACCTTTTCGAGAACTCATAAAAATGAATATTGAAAATGCTTGCTTTGTATTTTTCATAATAATGTGAAATTCATTTTAATAAACTTCCCGTTTAATTAACTTACATGTAATCGTCCAAAAATCGAAAATGATAATTTTTGCAGTTCTCGACGTTTTCAGGTTTTTTTTTGAACATTTTGGCATACCTCAGAAAAAATGGATGTGTGTGCGTGTATGTATGGATACAATTTTTTGTCCACGTTTTCGGGCGCACGGATCAACCGATTTGAATGGTTCAAAAAACATTCGGTTCCTATTGATAGGGAGATGTGCTGATTAGTTTTTGGCAAAGACAGGTCCAGTAGTTATGGAAATAAAGAGCTACGAGTTCAGAAAATAGAAATCGAATATTTGAGAGAACAGAGCATCCGATTTAAATGATCTAAAAAAAACATTCAATTAGTGATGGTTGGGAGAAGTGGTTATTAGTTTTCGGCAAAGGCAGGTTCAGCGGTTTCAGAGATACAGAGCTAAATTTGCAAAAAATGGCAGTTTTTGAGAGAACTAAGCGTCCGATTTAAATGATGAACTTTCTGCTTGTTTTTAACAAAATAATTGATTTTGAAAAAAAAATTTTGTTTCAAATTTTTTTTTCAATTTTTTTTAACAATTTTTTTTTGTATATCGAAAATAATTCAGATTTTATTATTAATTCTGACTAAAGTTCTAATATACTTTAAACAAATAATTTCAACTTTGCAATTCAGTTTATATAATTCTTATAAATATTAGACAATGTTACAATATTTATAATAATCTATTTCAAAACATTCAATATTCTTTGTACATTTCGTTACGGTACGGGACGTTCCAGCAATTTGCCTTAAGGCACGATGCCACACACTCCACTAGTTTTTGTTTTTATTTGATTATACTATTACCAACTCTTGTTAATGTTCTACTTATTTGTAAGATACTTTATTTATATTTTGTGTATAATAAAATACATAAATGCTCATATGTTGCCTTTGATTTGATGTGACGACAAAGTTTTGTTTTATTGCTGTTGTATTACAACTTCGTTTTTTTGTATTAAAGGCTGAAACATAGATAAGGAATTGGGCAGAGATGTTTTTATAGATTTAAAAGATATTGAATTAAATGTGGGTTTGTTTTATTTTATTTTATTACTTCAATTTGGCTCTGAATTTTTTGTTGAACATAAATGATTACACTTTAGATTTATTTTATTATAAATAAAGGTGACCATACCTCCCTAATTGGACGGGACAGTCCCAGATTTCCACCTTGTGTTCCGGAATCTTCACAATTATTCAATAATAAAATTGCAACTACTCATCAAGTATCTGAAAATGTTATATACAACGAGTACGCTTATATGAAATATGTTATGAATGAGAAAATTTCCGAAAACAAAATTCCAAATGCGAGTTAAAATAGCTTCTCGCATTAATAATTTCGAACTTTTATTTTCAATTTTACGAAAATTAAAAAACATTATGAAAACGAATGTTTTTTTACAACTCATGACGCACGCTGTGCAGTACTACCTGTACAATTAATAATTAAATTCCTTTTATTGGTTCAAATAGCACAGAACAAAGCACTGAGACTGGTACTAGACAAATCAAGAGACCCACTGACGAGACACTACTATTTAACGAAATATTTACACGAACAGACGGACATACCGACCATGCTAGAACACATCAAAAAGCTCACTGAGAATTTTTACCGAAAGTGTAGGGATCACGATAACAGTACCATCCGCGCGTTAGGCCAGTACACATCAGAAATGATCTGGTACGGGAATTATGCCATGCCAAACTACCTGATCGAACCCGCAGTAAATACATCAGTTATAAAACACTGTATGAAGGATTTTTTTGTAGGAGACTAAAACTTTTCTCCTTTTTTTTGTCCTTGAGTAATAATGTATAAAATATTGTACAAATATAAATATATAGACAATGTTGTAAAACCATAAACTTTTGGGTAAAATACCCGAGGGTAGACAAACCCACATGTAATTCACTGTATTTTCCACTGTATATATTGAATAAATTTTTATTTCTGTCTGTCTGTCTGGTTCTACGAATTTTTCAAAATCGAGAAACCGAGCGTTATGGGGACACCTCGGCTCATCCAGGCGACGTTTCCGCCGCACAGGGTGGAGCACAGTCTCCTGGGGCAAACAATTTTTTTTTTTTTGGGACATACGAACAACGATACGGATCTGACCAACATTTTTCTAGTCCACTAAACCTATATATATATATATATATATATATATATATATATATATATATATAGTAAATGAGTAAACCACAAACGCAATTAAAACGTTAATATAACGTAACAGATGTTACGTAACCTAAGAGGCACACAGACGTTTCTATTTCCGCCTCAAAAACGTAACGTACGAATTATATATATATATATATATATATATATATATATATATATATATATATATATATATATATATATATACATTCGTAAATATCTTTTATTCGTAAGATTACGTAACTGGTTTAGTCGACTAATTGTAAGTAAAAAACTACGTAAATGAGCGTAAACTACTACCAATGCGTGTAAGTTTACTTTACGATGAATGTAAATTTACGATAATTAGTATACATCACCTACAACATTGAATGTAAGTTTGCTACATTGAGTACAAATTTGCGTTGGACAAGTTTTGTGAGTGTAAATCTACTATAATGAGTTCAAAACTACAACAATGATTGTGAATGTACAAGTATGAGTTCAATTCTACTATAATGACTGTAAATCTACTGTGATGCGAGTGTGTGTTTACTGCAAGAATGTAAATCTATCATAATGATTGTAAAACTACGCAAATGAATGCGAATCTACTACAATCTTAATAGTTTATTACTTATTACAATGAAACTAAGCTTACTACTACTAATGTAAATCTGCTACAATGAGTACAAATATACTACAGTGAGTACATGCACATACCTATGAAAATGGATAAAAATCTACTACAATGAGAGTAAGTTCAAAAGAATTATTGCAAATCTACTGGGATGATTTTAAAATCACAACAGTGAGTAAATGAGAACTTCTCTTGCAAATGTGATGGTAGTGCTTCAAGTAGTCTCTGATGTAAGAATCGCTTTTACTAGTGAATCTGGTATAATGCCTTAATTCAATGCCGTCTTCATGGCATCAAAGTGCGCACTAAAACGTGGGCGCATGAAAAAATGTTTTTCGCATTTTCGCAATCATCAATTTCTCCTGATCAAGTCAGTCCCTCAACGCGTTGTGTTACGTGAAACAAATGTTATATGTGTATGTAAATAAATTTGAGTAATTAATGGTATTTGTTACAAATCAAGTTTAATATCGTCATAATAACATTTATACTTGTTTATCTATGGTCATAATTATGTATGCAAGCCCGTTAATTTTGAATCATTTCTAAGAAGAAGCATATGCGGTGCCTTTAACACAATCTTGTGTGTCGTACCTTATACAAAACTTGTTTTGCGCCATCTAGTGATGTATTGCTAGTAACCGATATCATACACAGCTTTATGTTCAAATTTAATATCAAAATCAATATCGAAAAATCACAACATATAATTGTTTCTCTAAAACAGTGGTGGGGGAACTTTTGGAACCATTACCCCAAAATGTTTTTGTGCAACTTCTCATTACCCCACAAAAAAATTAACTAAAAGAGCCTATAATTGGAATCTGTTTGCAACATATTTCTGTATAACCTGCCATAACATTGTTTGTTACTTCTAAATTACGAAAAAGGCTGAAATAAATGGTTTGAAGGAAACAATAAGTAAAAACTATATTCATTATGAATAAATATATTTTTCATGAAAATCCTACTAATCCGCACCGTGACGAAATTTTCGAATAATTTTAAATGTTTCCAATTAGATTATTCTAAATACTGTAACACTGTATAATATTCATAAGATATATATAAGCTGAATTACAAAATTTAAAAAAATTATTTATTCGAAGAATATAAGTGAGCTTTAGAAATTTAGCCAGAATTAAAATTAAAATCTGAATTATTTTCGATATACAAAGAAAAATTTTTTGAAAAAAAAAAAATTGAAATATTTTTCTTTCCCAAAAGTAATTGTTTTGTCAACACAAACAGCAAGTTTTTTTAATCATTCAAATCGGATGCTTAGTTCTCTCAAACTCTGCCATTTTTGTACATTTAGCTCTGTATCTTCGAAATGGCAGGACATGTCTTTGCCAAAACCTAATCACTACTTCTCCCAATCATTACAAATTGAATGTTTTTTGGATCATTCATATGGGATACTCCGTTCTCTTAAAAATTCGATTTCTATTTTCTGCACTCTTTACTCCGTATCTCCGTAACGGCTGGACCTGCCTTTGCCAAATACTAGTCAGCATATCACCTTAAACATAGGAACCGAATGTTGAATAAACCATTCAAACCGGTTCATCCGTGCGCTCGAAAACGTGAACGAAAAAATGCGGACACACAAAACACACACAAACACACATCCATTTTTTCTTAGGTATGGCGTTGCAAATTGGCGTTGCACAATTTCTTCAAAATTTCATGTCTGCTAAATATGCGAGATATGCAACTCAGGAAGAGTTTTTAAAATTTTCAGCAAGAATATTTTTTTGAGAAACCATAGAGATTTCAGCTTCATTTTTAAGAGTCCATACTCAATTTAAAATATTTCCGCGATAGAGCCACCTTACTTCTGTATAATAAAGAAGGTAAGTCTCAGCTTCACCATCCTGACATAATTCACAAAATAGCCGCGTATTTAGTGCATGTCCCTTGATGAAATTTATAATCTTGATAACATGATGAGTGTGGGTTATTTTCCCTTACAAAAGCTGAAAAACCATAAATATGACCCATCATAGATGGAGCTTAATCCAAAGACACCAAACTGCAATTTCCCCATTTTAATCTTTGCGCTTTGAAGTATTCGTTTACTTTATTATAAATATCAATTTCACGACATCTGAACTCGAGAAGAAAACAAAACAGCAATTTCTTTTCAAAATTATCTGCACCTTTATAGCAAACATATACCAGTTGTGAATTACTACTGAAATCCGTTGTCTCAAGCTGAATAGCAAAAACTTCACAGTTTTTGCTAATGCAGAGATTCATTTCGGTAGTAGGTTTTACTGAAGCTGATTTAAACCAAGCAAGATATTTAACTTGTTTTAGTGCGAAAACTACTTATTCCTTCACATTTTCTGCTAATGCAGAAATTCTTTCCGATAGTAGGTTTTACTGAAGCTGATTTAATGCTTTGCAAATATATACTTTACCCCCAAAAATTTCACTTTTACCCCATTTGGGGGTTCCCCGACCACTGCTCTAAAACATCACAACAGTCCACCTATCATCATAAACAGTTCAATAATTCCACTATGCAATTCTGTCAAATGTTTAGGCATGCGCATAGATTCGAAATTGACATGGAGAACACACATTGAGTATAAAAAGAAACAAATCCAACAGAAAATAAACGATTTTTACTGGCTTTTTGGGAGGAAATCTGAAATCTTTCTCGATAACAAGGTACTTCTGTACAAAACTATCATAGTGCCCATTTGGACTTATGGAATCGAACTATGGGATTGCTCTTGCAAAACTAACATAAACATCATTCAAAGGTGCCAGAACAAAATTCTGCGGATCCTTACTAATGCGCCTTGATATATTTCGAACGTTTGCCTACATAAGGATTTGAAAATCTCAACTGTCAACGATATGATCAAGATTAGAAGTTCATCTTTCAATAATAAATTAATCCAGCATACAAATCCTACTATTCAAGCGATTCACAGACCGCTAAGAAGATTGAGCAAGAAATGGCCTTCCGATCTACCAAACACCTAGCCAAATGTCTGCACGCGTCCTGACGTAGTACGCGGCATACATCATCACGTCATAGTTCATTTAACACTTCACGTCGAACCCTCGACGCGAACGGACGTGTTTTGCGAGAGCTCTCGAGTCTATATTTTGTAGTATGTGTATAATCCATAATCAGTAGTTGAAATCTATAAAAATTATATTTTGTAGATGTGTATAATCCATAATCAGTAGTTAAAATATACAAAAATTTTATTATTAGCAAGTGATCGGCTATATGATCTTGTGTGTTCTTTCATACAAAAAAAAAAATAAACTAGTGGGGCGCATGGCATCGTGCCTTAAGGCAAATTGCTGGAACTTCCCGTACCAAAAATTATTTTTTTTTAATAAGATTAACATTTTTGAAAAAAAATTACTCTGAAAAAATAGATTTTTGAGAAACTATAAATTTTTGACAAAAAAAGGCTTTTTGTTGAAAAATTTATTTCTAAATATTTTGGAAATTTTGAACTTTTTTTCAAAGCAATTCTACTGCTTTAAATGCATAGAGACTAAATATCGAAGCGCGTAAGCGCCTCGTCGCCGTCTAACGGATAAACATTGGTACGGAACCTATAGGAATGTAAACAAAATTTATACTTATTGTTAAAATCTCTATAAAATATCTGATAATTTGATGTGCATATGTCTAATGTCTAATGATTATTGTTGACCGCCAAATGGTATTTTTTTTAGTTTTTTTTACTAGATCTCCGAAACCGCTAGACCTATTTTCATGAAAATTTGATAAGTGTTCATCTTGTACGCACACACACACACATACATCAATTTTCTCCAAGGTTAATTATAAATAAATCAATTTATCATCTCCAGAACATTAACAATCGTCATTTCATTTCGAATCAAATTTCAAAAAAAAAAAATAGTTGCCAAATTTACACAAAATTGAAAAAGTGCTCCCGCATAGTCACAGTCTAAACGCATTTGCAAATAATTCTGTGCGAGTTTTTCACTTATACTGTGCTTAGCTTAGCGGCATTTTCACATTTTTCAATGATTTTCACAAAATTGGAAAAGTGCTCCAGTACATAAACAGTCTAAACGCACTTGCGTAAACATTTGTACCAGAGTGGCGCTTAGACTGTGCTTAGCCTGGGTGATTTTTTGAATTTTTAATCCAAAATTACAAAAAAATTTTTTTGAAAAAAAAATTCGAAACAGAAATTTTTTTTTCCAAAATCAATTATTTTGTTGAAACAAGCAAAAAGTTCTTTGAATCATTTAAATCGGACGCTTAGTTCTCTCAAAAACTGCCATTTTTTTAACATTTCGCTCTGTATCTCCGAAACCGCTGGGCCTACCTTTGCCAAAAACTAATCAGCACATCTCCCTATCAATAGGAATCGAATGTTTTTTAAACCATTCAAATCGGTTGATCCGTTCTCTCAAAAACTCGCTTTCTATTTTCTGCACTCTTTGCTTCATATCTCCGTAACGGCTGGACCTGCCTTTGCCAAAAACTAATCAGCACATCTCCCTATCGATAGGAATCGAATGTTTTTTAAACCATTGAAATCGGTTGATCCGTGCGCCCGAAAACGTGGACGAAAAAACGCGGACATACAAAACACACACACACACACACACACACACACATCCATTTTTTCTGAAGTATGCCAAAATGTTCAGAAACCTTCAAAACGTCGAGAAATGTAAAAATTTTTGATTTCGATTTTTGGACGATTACTATAACTTACCCTACGGGAAGTTAAAAAAAAAAAGTTAGTGAAAATAGTGCACGGACGCAACATTCGCAAAAGAAAAAAAAAAGTATTCTTTCCCTTCGGGGATATGAATAATGAAGTCCCACAAATAGGAAAAACGATGAATGTGATGCCAGATACATCGATAACTGACAGTAATTTCAACAAGAAAAGTCAACTTTTACAAAGTTCGACAGCAACAGAACAACATGCATGTGAACTTCAATCTCAAGAAATGGAAGATACTAGTGAAATAAATACACAACACTCCTGGCAAGAAGTGCCATGTAGCAAGAGACGAAAATTGTCTTCGTTTCCAGACACGAATGGAATTATTGTTCAAAATAGATTCGAACATTTAAACACAACAAATCAAGAGCAAAATAATACGAATACAATCAATATTTCACAAACATCCGTTCAACGTCCACCACCTATATTTATCTACTATATTAAAGATCTAAAAGATATGTTTACAGAAATTAACAACATAGTCACTACGAATGATTATTTCTATCGTACATTAGCCAATAATGTAGTTAAAATTTTATGCTCAAATTCGGATATCTTTCGAAAACTATCAAAATATTTAAGGGATACAAAAGTAGTCCATCACACGTATCAGCTAAAAGAGGAAAGAGCATATAGAGTGGTAATTAGATATCTTCATTTTACGACAGAAGTTAATGACATCAAGACTGCATTTGAAACTTTAGGGCATAAAGTTAGAAGTATTACTAACATACGTGACCGTAATACAAACAAACCTCTAAATTTATTCTATTTAGATTTAGAGCCGGCCAAGAATAATAAAGATGTGTATAATGTGACAAAAATAATAAATAACATAATTAGAATCGAACCTCCAAAAAATAACGAAACTATCGTTCAATGTAAAAGATGTCAATTGTACGGACACACAAAAGGTTATTGCTTTAGACCATATGTGTGCTCAAGATGCGGTGACTACCACAAAACAGCAGATTGCAAAAAACCAGATAATATTCCATATTTCTGCCACAACTGTGAACAACCCCATGCTGCAAATTATCGTGGTTGTTCAACGTACAAACATTTATATAACAGACGATTTCCAATACAATCTACTGCACCTAGACCAGATCCTGGCCAGCCTATAAATAACAATAAGCAATCCACAACTAATCCGAATAAATATAATAACTTGTACTCAAATCAAAACCGAAATAGAACTTTTGCTCAGGTAGTGAACAATGATGGTAATAATACGGAATCAAACATAATGACTAATCTCACGCAGTTTTTAATTGAGTTTAAAAACATGTTCAACCAGCTAATGCAACAAAATGTAATGATACTAAACATGCTTACAACAGTGATAAATAAACGAAATCACTAATGGCAAAGTTTATTAAAATCGCACTTTGGAACGCTAATGGTCTAACACAACATAAACTAGAACTCATAACATTTCTGAAACTCAACCACATCGATGTAATATTAATTAGTGAAACACATTTTACAAATTTTTCATACTTCAAAATACCAAACTATACAACGTACCAATGTAATTACCCTGATAATACGGCACGCGGAGGTTCGGCCATTATAATTAAGGATTCATTAGAACATTATGCTCTTCCAAATTTTCAATTCAATTATCTTCAAGCCACAATAATAAAAGTAAAATTGAAGTCATATGATTTAACACTGTCAGCGGTTTATTGCCCTCCACGATATATTATAAAACAGAATGAATTTGAAGAGTTCTTTAAGATATTGGGTAAAAGATTTATAGTCGGTGGTGATTATAATTGCAAGCATACTAGATGGGGCTCAAGACTTACTACAGCAAAAGGTAATGAACTTTTGAAAGCAATAGATAGCAACAACTTTGGCATTTTATCATCCGGATCTCCTACATATTGGCCAAGTGATCCCCATAAAATACCAGATCTTTTAGACTTTTTCATATACAATCAAATTAATGACAAATTTACAGATATCAAATCATA